AACACATTAAAATGCTGTCGTACCTAAAAAGTCGGGACTGTAAACTGCTGCGTGTGGTGCTCTCCCAGGCGAGCTCTGACTAAGGGCACGCTCTGCGCAACATGCCATTGCCATTATTCAGTGACACACAAGCTTAATGTTTGACAGGATTCACAGACACAGGAATTCTGAACTGGGGAGGAAGAGAGAAGGGGGCATCTGGCAGTAAGACTGAATTTGTGGAAGCGGAAAAATATGTCCCAGAAGACATTGGAAGCCCTGGAATGTTCATAAAAATATCAGAGAGTTTAGATCAGATGCTGGTTTGCTGGAGACGAGCGTGATCTGCTCACAGAACCTGTGTGTGGGGCAGCGAGCGCGTAGGCCTTTTCTGTGCGTTTGCTGTGAGAAGGATTCGTTTACCTGCTGATCAACTGTGATGAGAAATGGGAGCTCGATGCTGGTGTCAGTGAAGGTTCTGGAGCACGGGCTTCCCGCGGGATCTTAGGAGCCAGCCTGCCGTTGGGGCGTGTGTCAGTCCCCGCAGAACGCGGGACAGCTGCCGTGTCCCCTGGCTGTTAGCTGGGCACAGCGTGCAGCAGCGCGGGCTCTGCGTTCGATCGCCTTCCCTATTCAAACGCATCGTTTTAAAAAAGAAGCGGCAGGATTGCCTTGTAGATAACAGCATTTTCCCGGTGAATGTCTGAAAACCGCTCATTTCTGGGAGTGAAAGGCTCGTGGCTTTGGTCACTCCCGTTTGCCGTTCTTTGCCGGAGTGGAACCGGCATCGTCAGTCCCTGGGCCAAGCGCTTCCATGGCTTTTCTAATGTGAGCTAAATTTACTGTGAGGTTTACTCTTAAGGGTTGTCTTTATGGTGTTCTTCGGAAGGGACCTGCTCATCGAATAATTTCTACTGAATTCCTTTTCTTTTTCTACTCAGTGTGACCATTTGTGGAAGTATATGGAAATACTTGTCTGTCGAGTACATTGGGAGAAACTGAAATCTGTTGTTGTCTTTGCTACGAAGTGTTACTTAGCTGGGCTCTGACTAGCGTGTAGAATTGTACTGACAGACATCTGCTTTGTATTTTCACAGGTCAGACACCTTCCCACTACTTGGCAGCAAATCACAGCCTGCAAGAGGGTCTTCAGCAAGAAACAGAGACCCAGAGGTGGCAGAACATAACTCCAGCACAGGTATTTCGCTGTGCTTTTCAGTGTATACCTTGCTTCACTGATGTGACGGATTTCAGTGTATACCTTGCTTCACTGATGTGACGGAATGGTCGCCTGATGTGTCTGTTCTCACTTGTTCAGTGAGCTCGTGTCCCCTCAGCACTTAAAGGTAATCGCTAGACGCTGTTTGGTCAAACTGGGATTGGTCTGTGGTGCTGCAGGTGAGAGGGAACGCCGGGGTTTCTGCCTTTCTGTGTCAGGATAAAATGTGTTAATGCAAAAGCCACCGGTGAGCATGTCCACTTCAAAATTCAGTGCAGCATTGTGCAAAAATTCGTTGGGCACCAGCTGGGTAGGAGCAGGAAGGGTCAGCGCGTTGCGAGCAGTTCATTTCCTGGTAGGAAACTGGGGTTAGGTGATGCTCTTCTAGTTTACACTCACAGCGAGGTACAGGTAACTGCAGATTTCTGTAATGGGCAGAAGCTGATTGTGATTATTTATGCTTAATCAATTTTGATTCAGCTGGGTGGAGGAAAGGAACTGAGGGCGCTGTGTCCACAAAGTTCTTCTCCGACCTCTCTCCCCAAAGACTGCTCCCTTGCACCCGACTGCAGCCTCAGCAGCTATGTGTTTTTTTCCAAAAAGTTTACAAATCGTTGTTCAGTTAAGATTGGAGGGCACCTTACAGGCCTGAGTTGGCAAAGCCATCACATTCAGAAACCAAGAGCTGCTGCTGACACTCGTGATCTTTTATCAGAAATGGAAGCTCTGGCTCCTCGCTTCAGCTGAGGGCGCTTTTCTCGGGATAAATTGCAAACAGGTTTTTCAATTAACAGCATAAGGCAGAAAGCAAATACTGCACAGTCATAGCTGTTGTGGTTAGTGATTTTGCATTCCTTGTATGAAAAGCCCCTCTGTGAGAAGTTGACCTTCAGGGTAGAAGGGTGAGCAGCCCATTTGTTTTGCTTATTGAGGCAGTTACTCAACCGGAATGCCCAGCGCCGGCCCTCCCGTGAAGGGCTGACAGCCTGCTGCTGCTGAGGTCGATGTCCCAGGTGTGCAGCCACCTGGTCAAGGAAAGTCCTTTGCTCCCACTGCTGACTGGGCTTGGCCCATCACACGAGTCAAATCTCAGGAAGCTCTGGGTTTTTACACTGGAACTTGGGGAACTTGTAAAAATCAGTTTGGTATTCACCTGGTCTCATCAGATGAAAGACCTTTTCTCACACTGAACGTATATCGCCCTTGCTGTACCTGACCTCATTGCATTTTTGATTTTTATTTCGAAGGATGGAATATTTTCTTCTGCCAAGCAGCTACCTTTCCTCGTATTTTTCTTTCCCTCTTTCATTTTCTATCCTTTAGACTAACTCGTATTTTTTCTAGCTTTCCTTCATCGGTCAAACTTCATGGACTTTTTCACTGCTGCCGCCTGCTCCGTTTTCCGCAGAGCTGCCTTTCCCGTGGCGCGCAGTGCCCGTACAGCACCCCTTGTGCGCTCAGAGCTGAAAGGCTGCTGGTGGCTGCGTTGTTGTAGAACATGCAGAATCGGTCCTGTCCTGCCTGAGTCTTGTTCTTCTTGGATCATTCTTCTACCTATCACGAGCTCCTTGCATTGGGGTCCTGTGCTCGAGCACACGTGTGTGCTTCCCGTTTGCAGGCCTTGGTTGGAATCCAGCGTGCTGCCTCGTTATCCACCTGTTTGGGTGAAATACGGATAGTACCGGGTCCTGCACAGGCTGCCGCAGAACCCGGCTTGACCTTTTGGTAGCCCCTCTGCGTACACGTGCCTGGGGTGGTACGTGGCGTCTCTCCCTTCTTCCTGCCCACAAGGCCTGTTGCTGTGTCGTGAGAGGAGACCAGATTTTGCTGCTCATGCTGTTACTCTGGTGGGTGCTTCCAAGTGCATTGCTTGCCCTGGTACAGTCCTGGGAACTGAATTGCTCAGCTCATGGGTCGGTGGTTCTCTGGCTCCATCTTCAGCTTTTTTTCTTTACAGAGTTCAACACATTTTTCTGTTCTGGAAATTTATTTGTCCCTTACCTATCACTAACTTGCTAATCGAGCCCAGATTGCTTCAGCTCTTTCTTTAATTTGAATTTTACCAGCTTCCCTTAGCTTTGTTACAGTCGGTGGGCAGCTCTCAGAGATTTCGTACTTCCCAAATTCTTCCTGTAACGTGTACAATTCTTTCTGTAACGTGTTCTGTAGCTAAGTGTGTGCGGCTTGAAAACCCGTCTGTCTGCTGTCAGGCCTGTAGCTCACCTTTCCCCGGGGTCCCGACAGTTTCGGAGGCCAGAGGGTGCCGTTGTACCAGAGGCAGCAGTTAATGGACGGGCCCTGACATGCAAGGTCTTCCTGTTGAGATGTGAATCGCTGTAACCACGAGACTTCATTGGGACAGTGCAGAAATCCGTGGTCAAGGGGTTCTGGGACCTTCAGGGGATCTGCCTGTGTAGTAATTCCCCAGAGCGTCTCACGCCAGCCCAGACCAGGGCACCGTCCATCGTGGTCCTTGCTGGAAGAGCCTCACGTGTATGAAAAGGCTTCTGTCATTTTAGCTATTTTGATTGTAGGGGTATTTGGAAGAGCAGAAATGATGCTTTAAAGGATTCCTGAAGTAATTAGTGTTGTGTTTAGCTTGGGGGTTTTTTTTTGGTTTTTTTTTTTAAATTAAATGTATTTGGAACATTTTGCAGGCATAAAACCGCTCAGTTTCTGTTGTCTGTAACTGTAACATAAAAATGTGGTTTATGGCTTCGAGAGTACAGAAATGGAACCATTTCTTGTGTTTTAACTAGTACTTTACTCTTTTCACTTAGTTGACTTAGGACTTAATTTGGCTTTCCATGCTGAATTATTTAGTATTGAGTTGTTCACATTTGAAAGATTTTAAACTGAAAAATAATTTTTTCGACCTCTGAGTTAGACTTTCAGCCTGGGTTTGTCTGTAGGTGAAAGCCTTTGCATGTGAAAGCTGAGTAGAGCCTGGGCATCTGTTGAAACGCTCGGATCTCTGTGGGCAGAAGCGCTCACACCGTATGCATGAAGCCAGCCTGAGCGGCTCTGAGAGTGTAACTGTTTGAGTGCTGCAGCACACAGGAAAAACGATTTCTGAATTTTTTTAACCCTTGATTTTTTTCCTGTTGCATGGCTAGCGTTCGATGGTGAGGGGCCTGCTGACATGAGCGTCGTCGGCCAGCGGGTGAGCTGTGGCGACGGATGCGGGGATCCGGAGGACCAGAAGCAAGGAGAAGTGTCACGTACTACTTTTAAAAGTCAGAATATGGAACACCAAAGAAATGTTAAGCATTCAAAAGGTTTGTGAGTTTGCTACGTTGCTGATATCTGAGCTCTCATTTATGGCACAACCTGAGGCTCTGCATAGCCTTCTGTAAAACAAGAATGGATTTTATAGAGAATACATTCCGAGGTGTTTAGCTTGGTTTCCTCTTTTGTAGTCTTTATACTGACTAACAAGTTGGCTTTTTTCCTGACATTGACTGAAATGAGCCTGCCAATTAAATTGAAATTAAAAGTCAACTGGTGGTACATGGCATGAAAAAAAAGGACCAAATAGTTCTGTGTCTCAGTCTGAATAAATGAACAGCTTTAAAAGCTTGGTTTTAAATGACTCTGTTGTTCATTGGTAAAATGAAGGAGCTGAAACCATTATACTTTACATTTCAGTTTCAGCTGTGTCACTTTAGTGTGTCCTAGGAGCTACTGTTCCCTACATCAGAACTGTGGTCGGTACGATACGGATATATTTTCCAACTATAAGCTCATTAGAACAGAGCAGCAACATTTTTTTTCCTTTTGAACTCAAAAGTACAATGGGGAAGGCAGTTTAAGGAGCATTTGGTTTCACTGAGCTCCCTCAGAGTGGCTAAAACAGATATCAGGTAATCATGTTTTAGTGGCAAACAGAAAATTAGATAGACATGAAGATCTTTGTCCCAATAAGATTTTTTGTTTTCTCTCTCTTCTTTTGGCATTAAGCGTGGACAGTTTTGTCTGTTCTCAAGGTTTTATAGAAATGGTGGTGTGCTATTTTAGGTGAAACATTTAAAGCTGAGCAGTGGAAGTAAAGTTTATAATCATATTTGTAAATCCTTTGGGCTTTTTTTGTTAACACCTCCTTATCCCGTGATGGCTGTGAAGTGGGAGCTAGAAGCTGAGGTTAGGACAGAAGGTCCTCTGGGGGTAGGTTCCAAAGAGGATTCAGTATTGGGTGCCCAATAAGAGGGAATTGCTCATGAAGCCTCGAGATCCCATTCCAGAAAATCCCACAAGACCAGTTTTGACAGTTCTCGAATGTTAAAGCTTGGAAGGTTCAGAAGCCGGTGACTGGGTTTGTGGGAGGACAAAGTAACGCTTTCAAGGAAAACCTTTTCACTTGATCTTTCTTCTCATAAGGCGTAAAAAGGGAAGCTCCAGATTTAAAAATATGTGATCAGGTAATTTGTAAAGTAAAGAGGCATCTGCCGTACTCCTACCTGTGACTGGTTTTGGCAAACTAAAGATGGAGATGGGGGCAGAAAGTGTGACAGAGCTGCCGAGAGCCCCCTGTGGCTGAGATGCTGCAGCTCACCTGGTAGGGGGCATTTTGCAGCAGCCGTGGCTGCAGGCAGAGGCTGGCAGCGCACCAGGGCCCTTCTCAGCTGCGGCGGTTCCGATGCCGCTGCCGTCGTTTCTGCGCTTCCCAGTAGGTCGTGGGGCTTTGCTGAGTCACCTTGTCCGTTGAGAAATTTCAGGTTATCCAGGGGAAATAGCAAAAGCAAACGGTGCCCTTCTTTAGTCACAAACTCTCGTTGTTATTTGCCCCTAGTGTGGCCAGTATAGAAGTGTACAGGATGGCGCCTGCTTTGGTGGAGAATTTGAGGGGCTGCTCGTTTATATGGGGAACAGCATTAAGTGCTGCTGGGGGAAAAACATTTTAGCGAATTCTGTTTTCATGCAATTGTTCCGAATTATGCCAGAAGCAGTGCTGTACTTCCACTAAGTGAGTTAGAAACTTCTGGGTTTTTTTTCACTGGGATCAGTTGATTTGAAAATCCTCTTACAAACGTTGGCTTTCTTTATGCTCTTTCGGCAGGAATTTTGTTTGCTATATGCTTTCCATGATTTTGGGGATATCAATGTTTAGTAAATCCCGTTAACTTCAGTAATTTGAAAATATGCTGGTTCATAAAGGTGATAAATTCAGGTGTCGGTGTATGATGACATTTTAGAAGGAAAAACCATCTACCGAAGCGTAAGCTACCTGGTTGACATTGTGTGGGTTTTGTTTTTTTTTTAAGGTCTTGCAGAGTCACTGTCTGGTTTTCCGCAGATGAGCAGTCTGGATTTCATTTCACCAGGGGTCCTGTCTGAAGATGCAGTTGTAATTGTTGGTAAAGGTATTACAAACCCAAAGTTATCTGCTGTATCTCATTGTGTTACTAAAATGAGGGAAAATGTACCTTTATAGAGTGGGAAAAGCCGTACAGCGGTTTAGGTTGTGAACAATCTCCAGTTTAAATGGGAATGAAAAGAATTAAGCCTGAAAGTTTTGCAGTCACTAGATCTGCCCCCCCAAGAATGGCAGCGGGATGTGTTGGTCAGGGCCGGGTTCTGGCCCCATGCGCACACACGTACGTGCGTCCGTCCTGCTCGGTACGATAAAGCGAGGGGGCTTCTGGGGGGAAACTGGCACCACTAGTAGCCGTGGTTTTATCTTCGTGAGTTACTTTCAGTTTTCTTTAGTTTTTACTGAGTTCTGCCGAATGCAGTGGTTATTTTGGTGAGGGCGCCACACGCTCTGCCTTCCAGGTGTTTTTGGAAGCGCCCCCGCAGGAGCGGACAGCCCGTCCCTGGCACACATAGCGAACGGAGGTGACCGCGCTGTCAGAGAGGAGACTGAGCCTTCGTCAGGGGTCTGTGGGAGAAGCACCCAGCAGAGCAGCGCTTCTCCTTTCCACGTTGAAAAAGAGAGAGAGGTGAGAATTTCAGACCTGTTCCGTTGTGTCTCTCCCGGTCTCTGTGGGCGATGATGCAGGTCGATGCAGCTCTGCAGCCTCTGGGTTACGGTACGCGAGGCCTTGGTTAAAATGCCCTGTAGCCGTCAGCTGCTCCTCCCGCCTTGTGCTTTTCGGTCCCACCTGGATGTTTTCTAAAGGCAAACTGCTGTGGCAGCAGCTTCCCACCTAACTCAGAAGTCCCTGAGAGAAGGGCTGCGGGAGGGAGTGGAGCTGGAAAATGTCCTTTCCCCTGACTCTCACAGCAGGTGGAAGTGTGGAAGGAGGAATTGGCTGGGTTGGATCCTGCTTTGTTTTGTTGAAGGACATATAAATCTAGCTCCGTTCATGAGGTTTTTAAAAAACAACATCCCATAGTATGGTTTCATGAGGAGTGGTGCTGCTTTGTTAAGCTCTGCGTACATCTGTTACAGCGTGGAGCAAGGGCGATGGGAATGGAGTGTGATACAAAAAATTTAAAATGAAAACCCCAGGTCTTTCTGAAAGCATTTAAAATAACATTTTAAGATGACTAGGACTTTACATTAATGAGAAATGGCGTCTTAATTTTCTGGTTTCCACTGAAGGTATGAATACTTGGAGGGATCAAATTTGAAGGGGTGAATGGAGGAATGTAATAAATGTTACTAAGGTTTCATGAGGAGCTGTAAGCGCCTCGAACGTGTAAGCAAGTAGGGTCAGATCGCGCTGTGAAAGACCACTGCTTAGAAGAGCCACCTCTGTGCTTAAATGTGAGCGAGTTGGCCCAGCCTGTGTATTTGCTAGTTAAAATCCTAGGAAGCTACACAGCGCTGACAAGGAGTAGAAGACCTTTTCTTGCAGACCTTAGTTCTCTAACTATTCAGATATTTTAAAGTGATTATCTCCCTTCGATGTTTAAACCTGGAATGTTGTTTCTTTTTGCCAGCAGGACTACTTTGCATGCAGAAAGCACACATTCAGCTCTTTTCAGGATTTGCTTTAGTATTTATGTGAATATTTTCCTGTTGGTCTGCAGGATAATGGTGAAAATAGTGATTTTCCATGCTTACCTTAGACAGTGTCAAGAACGGGGTAAGAAGTTACTTGGTGGCTTGTGCTCTACATTATATTGCGTATCATAACGGGTGCATTAATTATTGCAGACAAAAGTTACCATGTCCAAATCTGCCCAGGATAAGATGAGGCGGAAGAAAAAAGAAGAAAAAGAACACGATCATAAAGAACATCAAGAAGTCAAAGGCATCCAAGGAAAGGAAGAAAACCCTTGGGAAAGACTTAAACTGAACGAAGAGAAAATGACAGCAGAAAGTGAGGATTAGTGTTTGTCTTAAATGAGCAATATCCTGTTGAATGCTGCTGAAATGGAAATTACAGTTCTGTGATAATTACCAAAAGTCATGAGTGTGACAGAAGGTATCACTAGAGTTAATTTTGCACTCCGGTTTACCCTTTAGTCGTTCATTGTCAGTCTTACAGTGCAAATGGTGGAGAGTAAAGGGCTTATGGAAATACTTCAAAGACTGTAGTTAAGAAAAATTTCAAAGGTCAAATTAGAACTGGGAATACTATTTTTTTTCCCTTTTTTTCTGATTTGTTGTTGTTGTAGTTTGGACATTTCCTTCTATTTTCTAGCGTTAAATCTCTGTGGGGATATAGTTACGTCGTCAAGAAATGTATCTTTGTCATTAGAAAACGTGGCCTTGAATCCTTCCTTGAAAAGAACATCCAGTGTGAAGAAGGCAAAATGTTCAGCCTTGCTGGATTCTGGTAAGCTGTTCCCGTGCACTGGAGACTGCTAAAACGCTGGGATATGCAGAGTAAGACAGTCGGGGTTAGGATGAGGCATTTGTTCGATGGACGGTCCTGGGGGGCTCTGGAACGTTAGTGCTTCGCCGGGCGGGTGAAGGGGGTTTGAAGTCACCATTGCTCCCTTGAAACGTTTTTCATCTCTGATTTGTTAGGAAGGTGTTTGAGACATGGGAGGGATTTTTATTTGCTCAGCAGCTTAAATGGTGTCACGTGTTAATGGCAAATCCACTCCCTTCTGTCTCCGAGGAGAACATCTCTGGGTACGTTCAGTGGCTGAGGTGCCTTTGAGGTGCGAGGTAGGGATCTCTGCAGAGCAGCAGCTCCTGCTGGCGGTGGCCAAAGGTCTTCAGAATTTCTCAAGCAGCTCTTCAAGTGTTACCGTGTTGTCTCTTACCCTGCGGTGGTTTAGCACCTTGTGCACCCCTTTTTACGTTAAACCACCCACTGCCTTTGTGTTGGTGACTTTTTGAAGCAGTGGTGGTTTGTGGAAAAGCTCACCCGCAGGCACGGCGTGCTGACTGGTCGGGGGTGTGTCTGGGAGAGCTGTCTCTCTGAAAAACCTCGTCCCTTAGCAACAGTCTGTACCTCGAGCTTTTTGTATTTTCTTTCTCTGAATGAATTGGTTTCTTCGGGTTACGCTGATTATTTCTTACGCTTCACGACTTTGCAGATGAAATTCCTCTTGGAGCACGAGGACGCAGTAAAGACCAGACTCCATCGGTCACTCATAGCCCAGAAATAATGGACCCGTCAGAACTGCAGCCCTTTTCCAAACCAGAGGCGGCACTGACGGAAGCCTTGACACTTCTAGCTGATGATGACTGGTAGGTGTCAACATCCATCCACAACCTGAGTGTGATGCAGAAGGCGTTTGTTTGGGTAACTTTAAAAAAAAAAAAAAGGAGCAAAATGGACATGACATCAGAAATAGTGAGGAGGATTGCAAGTGATACATGAGAGAAAGGAAAAAGGATTTTTCAGTCCAAATGAAACTGGAGCTGTTGTAAATTGAGGCTCGGTAGCTCAGCTTCCAGAGCCCTGGAGAGAGGTTGGAGCCCTGCTCTGGAGAGGGCCCCCACCCGTTGCTCCCTGTCCCTTCCTGTGGAACGTGAGGCTTCGCTGTGCTCGGGCTGGGAAATGGGGTTGCGATGCTGCTGCTTTCCAGCTTGGGAAAGAAAGGGATCCTTCAGTGCACGCTGTGGGCAGAGCTGAGGGAGAGAACTGAGAGACTGGTGTGCTGAAATAGTCCTGCTGCTGCGTTAAAAGACTCACTTCGGAAGAATTCCCTGTATCATGTGTCATGGCTTTGTTTTACAGTGTGATTTGTTTACTATTTGGTTTCACAGAGTTCTGTGTTTTAATATTTTTATGAAAATTGGCAACTGTTTTGCATTTGAGTATTTTTTTTTTCACATAGGGAGAAGAAAATCGAAGGTCTGAACTTTGTTAGAAGTTTGTCTGCCTACCACGCAACTGTTCTGACTGCAAAGCTACATGAGACAAGTTTGGCTGTGGCTCAAGAGGTTAAATTTTCCTATCAGAATATTTCGCGGACTGTATGTGTGTACATGTATTTTAGAGCTCTCAGATACGCTGCAGTGAAATGGTATGTTCACCTGTGGTTGGTTTTCCTCTCTTGGGCGGTCTCGAAAGCATGAGTTTGTCGTTCAGCAAAGCAGCTCGTGCTTCAGATGCCAACACTCGGTCTGATTTGCTGAGAGAGTGAAAGAATTTTGATTGTAACTTTATAACATTTTTCATGTGTACATATTTTAATTCTCACACATTGTCAATCAAGTTAGAAATGTATTTCTCAGTTGCTTTTAATGTTATTTAAACATTACAAAGGGAAACATTAAGCTTTACTTATTTTAAAGTATATTTTATAAACATTATTCATTGTTTGTTTGGGTTTTTCCTGTGTGCAGGTCAAGAATTTACGCTCAGGTGTTTCTCGAGCTGCTGTGGTCTGTTTAGGGGATTTGTTCACCTACCTGAAAAAGAGCATGGATCAAGAACTAGATAATACAGTAAAAGTCCTTTTGCACAAAGCTGGTGAATCCAACACATTTATAAGGGAAGAGGTAGACAAAGCACTGAAGGCTATGGTTAATAATGTGACTCCAGCACGTGCACTTTGTTCTCTTATAAATGGAGGGCAAAGGTAATTCTTATGAAGACTTTATAAAGAAATAACTTGTGAATAGATTAAATTTATCAAATACAGTCTTTTTTTTTTAAAAAAAAAAAAACCCAGAATACAATAGGCAGAAATCTGACGATACAGTAAGTCAGCTCTGCAGCGGTTCTGCCCAGGGCAGCGTTTGTTTGTGTAACGGTAAAATGTAGCCCCCGGCTTTTTTCTGTGCGTCATGTGAAACGCTGGCTGTTGATGTTGGAGCTTGGCGTGTCTGCTGGCTGGTTTGCAACACTTCAGGAATTTTATTCGCTGGTAGTGTAGTATTCCTGGGAAACCGCTGCTTCGCTTTGCCTGGTGAAGCTCACGTGGCATTCTCACTTTCCCTTTGCTCTGCCATCGAATGCCTGCCTTTCAGCTTTCAGCGCTGCTTTTTGTTTAGGAAGGTGATTTATAACTAACCATTCCCTAGCTGCAACTGTCTGGGTGGTTTCCTGCTCTCCTCTGGGCTCAGCTGGTTGATGGTCTGTTGGGCTGCATTTTCACTCCTTGGCAGTGGTGGTGGCTGTTGGTTTCTCCAGTGCCTCAAACATGACGGGCCTCCAGTTGTGGCTGCACGGTTTGATTCTGACCTCTAGCTTACCTCTGGCTGTGGTAGGAGTTACATTCCTTTAGCTCACTTTCCCTGTTCAGTATGTTCTTTCTCTTTTATACCCTCCTTAATCAAGCCATGAGGCATGCCAGTGTGTTAGCTATCTACGCCTCCTTGTACTTGATCTCTTATCTCCCTGTTGCTGCTGAGGTGACATTCAACGGGCTGGCTCTCGGGTGGCCTATCCCTTCCGTTGGGTGTTTCAGATACTCCCTTGTAAATCAATCCTTAGGCTTCCTGCACAGCTACAAGTCATGAGAGCTGGTCTTGATTCAAAGTGGTGTGTTTCCTGGGAGGCTGGTGGTTGTGGAATCTGTTGTTTCTGTCTCCTGAAGGCCAAAGAGAACCATACTGCAGTTACCTGAACTTTAAACTGAAAGGCAGATACCAGCCTTGGGATTTAAATTATTTACGAATCGTGCCCACACGGAGCTGTTTTTGTGACTTGGAGAGCAGCAGACAGTAACTGCTTTAATTCAGAACCCGTGTGAAGTGTCTGTTTTGTGTCCTCCCGTCTTTTCTTCGGAAATCCTGGTCCGCGCAATGCTCATGATCACAACTGGCTGCATCTGATCTCCCCGGTGTCAGGGCAGATGCCAACACGCTGACCCATCCTTACGAGTTTTCTAGACCTATAAAGATTTGACCCCTCCGGTTTGTGAACTTGGATAATTTTTCAGATATCTAAGGAATCCAAATTATCTGAGCTGTGAGGCTGAATACAGCATTTGAAGCAGGGATTAATTTCTTCGCAGCTAAGGAGACTTCAGTCAAAGTGGTGTGGAGATCGTGGGGCACGGTCTGGGTTTAATGCGTAACGCCTGGGCGGGCGGCCTGAGCGGCACCGTGCGTCCCAGCCCTTCCAGCGCTGCCGGCAGCAGAGCCCCGCAGCACAGGCGGAGCTGTCGCCTCGAGAGGCTGCCCCGATGAGTACGAGAATTACCTTTCAAAGTGGAAACTTGGGAGAAGAACGACATGTGTCTTCAGCAGCAGGTGGAAGGGTTCTGTTTGAACACCTGTGTGATAACACAGAGGGTATCTTTGCTAAATTTGGCTTATACCCGGGGTGCTTGTATTCACCACGACTGACGAGTTCAAGTTAACGCTTATGGTTTGGCCTGCAGTTCATAAGAGCTTTCAAAATTTACCTATTTTCTGCTCAACACATTTCAAGCCTACTGTGATCATGAGTATTAATGCTGGCAGCCCTGAGTAGGTGTAAATACTGATTCTTCATCAGCTACAAAGTTGGTTTTGGCTTTACCAACAAGAATAATTGAAAACATTTTTGTTTGCCTGGGTGAGATGCTGCTCAAAAGATGCTGGACTGTTGCTGTAAACTGGCCTCTGCGAATAGGTGCTCGATCCAAGAGGGTGATTCCAGATCTGAAAGTGACTGTATTTCAGAAATTTTAAAATCATGGGTTTTGTCTGCATGAATTGTGCTTAATTCTAAGGTCTGACGTGCATGCAAAAAGATTCCCAGCTATTTTGCCTGAGCAGTGGGCATTTGTGGGGAGCGGGGGCTCGTTTGCTTCCCCGGGGTGAGCCCTGTAAGCCCCCAGGTTCTTGTTTTCCCGGCGGTGTGTGCCGCAGGAGTCAGGCCGTTACCGTTTCCCCCCTCCCAAGCTCCCGAGGCGTGTGGCTGCGGGACAGACCCAACGGCCGGTGCCGAGCACGGGCCAAAGCTCGTCTTAAGCGCGGCAGCTCG